TAGGTGCGTTCTACATGGTCTCCCTGAGAACAAGACCAAGTTGCGACAACGAGGTCAACCCACTTCTAAATAATCTATCAGACGGGATGTTGGTTCCAGGTCGGAGAGCAGAAGGTGGATTCTACCGACACCGATTAACGATGACGCTCTCAGAGCCGATTGTCCGCCTACAGAGGCCTCTAGACAGGGGATGAGGCGCAGAATGGATCTGCCCAGCGGAGGCTAGACACTGTGTTCTTGCTCTCTGTCCTACAACATGTAGCAGCTCAGGCAAAAAACACAATCTGGCCGCGTACACGCATAAGCAAACACTTAAATGAGCACATTCGTACAAGTGCAGGATCAACAGCTGAAAGCTGAGCTCTCCTTATCAAGCGCTCTGCCTTGAACACACGCCTCAGCAACTGTGTGTACCCTGAGCGTGGGACAGCGCTCGTCTGCCACATCGGCTTCTCGGAGTGCGTCTGTCCGCGGAGTAGGCAACTCCTTCGTGTAGACGCTTGTAGACTAACTAACAAACACAGAAGACTCATCGCACTACCTCAGAACATGCCATCTCCAAGCCAGCCCATTGGCATATCCGTCACTACGAGATGACTTACGCTGTATTTAGAGGCCTTCCTGCAAGACCACATCTTTAGTTTTGTGTGCGAGTGCGGACACGCACACACACACACACACACACAGACATAAGCATAATCCCGGGGACACATTTTTCACACACATGGGAAGGCCGAGTTGCTCATTTTGACGCAAAGACGTGCAAAGAGTCTGCCCAGAGGTAGAACCAGGATCCATCATTCAGTCTCGATCGGACGGTACCGATGTTGGGCCATACTGGCCCGTCATAAGTGGATCAAGGTCACAGTGAGTGTGCTGGGTCGCACCGAGGCTTCGCCAGCGTCCTCGAAGGGATGTGAAAATGTAACCCTTAGTAAGAAGTTTGTGACAGAACTGTCTCACAATTATCAAGAGACTGTGAACCCCATGCGACAGCTCAAGAGAAGCTGGGTGTCCAGGGCCAGTCGAGTGGTGTTGTACCCATCGACGAACAATGATGCAAATGAAGAGTTCCCATTTTAAGAAGGGCGCTCCATCAGCCGTTTCAGAGACTAATAATTGAGCCGTTCAATTTGTTGGTGTCCAATTGGTTAATTGTTGATAGACGGATCGTATGATAGCCGGTTAGTAGCTAGTTGATGGTCAGTTAGTAGTCGGATGGTAAGTCTTTGGTGGTCGGTTCGTAATTAATTAGTTCTCAGTTAAGATTCGGTTGGCAGTTGGTTGAGAAGTAGTTAATAATTGTGTGATAGCCAGCTGCTAGCTAGTTTATAGTCGGTTAGTAGCTGGTTGGTAATCGGCTGGTAGACGGTTCGTAATCGATTGGGTGTCGGTTAAGCGGTGGTTGATAGTTGCATGCTAATTGGATTATTAGTTGGTGGGTGGATAGCTTGTAGTTGGTTAGTTGGCAGTTGGTAGTGAATTCAGTTACAAGAATCGGTTGAAAGTCGATTGATATGTGGGTGATAGATGGTTGGTAGATTATTGATAGCTTTAGTATATCAGGCTGGTAGCTAGTTTGTAGTCGTTGGACAGCTGGTTGGTGTTCGGTTTATTGTCGATTGAGTTTCGGTAGAGAATCACTGGAGGGTCGATTGGTAGTTGGTTAATTGGTGGTTGATATACGGTTGGTAAAAGTATGATAATGGGTCAGTTGCCAGTTGGTAGACGGTTTGTGGTTAATTTGCAATCCATTGGGTGTCGGTTGATGTTTGGTTAGTAGTTCGTTGATAGATGGTCGATACTTTTATAGTAGCCGGCTGTAGTCACTTATTGGCTGGCTGGTAGTCGGTTGATAGTCATTTGCTAGTTGTTTGGTATACGGTCGAGAGAGTTGACAGTTGGTTGATAGTAGGTTATTTATTGGTTGACAAATGTTCACTTTTTGGTAGCTGGCTCTCCGCAATTGTCAGGACCCTGACTTTTGTAAAGATGCACCTCATTCGCGTGCTGTTACCTCACCTGATGTTGACTCTTCCCATGCATGAGTTAAGAGAATGTTCTATTTAATCGTTTGAATTCACTCCACCATTTCGCCTAAAACGACCATTCTCCGGGCCGTTGCGCAGTTTCAACATCGAGCCGGAGTTTCATCATCAGTGCAAGCTGAAGTTGCAAAGAGGCTTGTCAACAACAAAATTTTAGCATTTACTTGTGAGTATTTTAAGGCACCAAGATACATTGCTTACCCACGTTAAGGCGTTAGCAATAAGGAAAATGTGAGTATAGTAGTGCTTGGGCAGAGTCCCAAGTATCAAGGGGTTGGGCATGTCTTGCCACCAGATATATCAGGCTTAAAAGTAAACTTCCAAATATCTAAAAGTTACTTGGTCATACTTATTACTTTTAATTAAAGTAGTACACGTTCTCCATTGGTTGCCTTGGTATTTACTTTTGTGGGAGTTGCAGATTAAGTCTTTTGAGAAAGATTTGTGTCCCTTTAATAGTATAATGAGAAGAGAACTTTTGATTCTTAATCGAAAACCCAGAGCCAGAGTCATGAACTTGAGTTAATTTACAGACGGAAGTGGAGGCGATATGCCAATAAACAGATGGTGTTTTGTTGTCCTCAGGCCTCCATTGCAAAAAAGTTGTGCTAATTGAAGATTGATGCTGAGTGTGTAACTATGGCCAGAAAATGGTATTGACACATGTGAATAGTTTATAAGTATGAGTTGTGCTCACTCTACTTGGTTTAAGGTGAT